TACCAATACCAAAGAAAAGCAATCATAACAGACGAGACAACAGTAAGCCAAGACCGTATTCAACTTTAGCAAAGACTCCTTTTTAACCAGTCAGCTCAGAGCAAAATAACTTTAAAAGCCATTTTGGAAATTTTCTAAGACATCACTGCAGCTGATAATAGAACTAAAATATCGAAGTAGACATCTGATACACTCACGCACTGCTCGATGCGCATGCTATTGACTAAAGTAGCGAATCGTGGATCACCGCATGTCCAGACAAAATGGGAAACATAGCGAACTTTCCATTTCTCTGCTCGATCAGTCATATTCTACATTAAAGAGATATACATGTAGGAAAAGTTCAAGTCAAAAAATGTATGATATGCATAATGCAACGAACCTTGACACAAACTTCCCGTTGTTTGGCTATCAAACCCCAGCTATCATGCGCTATTAACTGAGTAATGCCTCTGATATCAATAGCGTCTGTCCATTGGAGCAATTTAGTGAATATTAAGGAGTCATCTCTGCAAGCATGATTAAGACGCATAGAGAGAGAGAAAGAAACACAACATTTACGCACAGTCCATGAGGCTTGTTAGAATCCTCAAATACTGTGCTTAACACTGCCCGTTGGAAACTTGCAGACAATATAGTGAGGTTACCCTCGTATACAGGAGTAAAGTAGAGTGCTTCATTGACGTAACTGAAATTCTTCTAAACCGTGAACTAATTGACAAAATCGGTGTGCATTCCTTACCCTAATGATGGGAGGATATTAAAGAACTGGTTTTTCTCAGATAAACTAAATCGAAGATCCACAACAGCATATGGTAAAACACCGGATGGAACATCAGCAACAGACATATCCTTATTGTACTCGTAATGATACACCTAAAGATTCCCTCTCATTTTCGCCACGCTAGCGCAAATAGATTAAGTATGCAGATATTCACCGCAGCCTGACGATGCAGTTGCTGCCGAGATTTGCGCGATAGAGGAGTGTTATCAGCGGCTGCAACATGGCTGCAACATTCCAAAGTCGGTTCCAACTCCGTAGAGCCCAATCCAACTGCGCAACTTTTCCCCCTAGAGTTGAAACTTTTGTGGCTGTTATAAGAAAACAGAATGAGAATAGAAAGGATGATTACGGTAGTTCGCCACCTTAAAGTGCGGAACACCATAACGCGCATAGTCTCATCCTTGTACAATAGGGATGGCGTCACCAAATCTACGTAGCGGTAAAGGTATATTCCTGCAAAACACGATGGCATTAATGAGCTCAGCCATTTGTGAATTCAAGTCATTAGGATAGAAGTCTAGAAGACAAGAACTTACCACGGGTTGGCGAGCCTAAGTCCCCGTAGAAGGAGGTACCAACGGCGTAGCCATTGTCAGCTATGTACGTTAACTGAGAAAGATACCGAACGAAAATTCAAATGTAAACTATGATAACTGAAGTTTGGAGTAACGTCAACTCACATCATCGCCGTCAAATCCAAGAGATAGAAATTCATAACTTTCTGCATCGCTTTGTCCATTTCCTCGTAGGTTTATTTTGAACTGGTCATACTATATGAGCAAATGATAATTGGTCATTTAACCTGATCTGTTATGAAGCTGCAAACCTTGAATTCGAGAAATGGGTTCTTGATCAATTGTACTTTTTCTATGTGAAAAAAATGGAGAACTTGACGATCTGACACACCATTCAAAATCACATTTTTGACTGTGCTGAACTTCTCCGAACCTTTAGGGACTTCCTCGACGGTAGCCTTGGGCTCAATTGTTGATAAATCTACAATTGCGAGGAGTTCATTCTGTCAAAGAAATATGGAAGGTTATCATAATGCTTAACATTCATGAGGAACGATGATGAGGAACATATAACGAGAGTTCTTTTTCGTTCGGAGGACAGAGCTTATAATGTACTTAAGCATGACTCACCGATAACGGCTTTCTCCACTGCACGTTTTTTCTTTGGAATAACGAAGTTCATGTCTTTGAATAGCAATTACATGTAATCTCAGTATATCAGATAACTGAAAAAAA